TCATAGTCCGAATAATATTTGATAACTCCGAAAAATAATTAAACATCCGAAAAAATGAATAATTAATATTTCAAAGGAAATTTTCAAAGATTTTAATATTTAATACTCCGAACAATATTCACTACTCCGAGTAATGCTGTTCTGTTTAAATAAGTTAACATAATCCTTATAATATTAAAAAAACAACACATACTCCGAATAATTTTTAAACTCACTGAAAAATATACTCCGAATAATATTGAAAACCTTAAGAAATATTTAAAGCTCCGAATACATATAGTATTCACTACTCCTAGTGATACTTAATATTCGGAATATTCGGTATACGCCGTCTAAATAGTCCGAAGAAGTTGTACTGAGTTGAAGCCTTAAGAGGAATAAGAAAGAGAAAGATAACTAAATATATAATTATATAAGTAATATAAGCTGAAAGATTTCTTTGACATATTGCAAGACTCAACCTTGCTGTGCAGTGTAATTTAATTAGCTCACCTGCCAGTCGCTTGTCTGTACGAGCGAATTTAACCAATTAAATGGCATACAGCGAATTATTTACGTGCTTAACACTCGGTTGCTCTCTGCTGCCCTCGCCGAGCAGCTTGACGTGGGTTTATCTGAATCTGGCGACGACTTTCGCCAGAATTGTTGCTAGTGTTGGCCATGACGCCACTTAACAGCCGTGTTATATATGAAGCAGTACTGCGAAATCAGAAGAAAACAAGAAATAAAACGAAATTCCATTCGACTATAAATAATTCGATGAATAACTCTTGCAGATTGCCTCGTACTTCATACAGAACCGCGGATTCTCTTTCGGCATTAGCGATGTGACGCCCAGCGCGAAGCTGCTGCAGCACAAGCAAGTCCTGCTGGAGCGCGGCTATGCGAAGTGCAACGAGTACATCGACAAGCTAAAGGCGGGCACTCTGCAATGCCAGCCCGGCTGTACGCCCGACGAGACGCTCGAGGCTGTGATGCTGCGCGAACTGTCCGGCATTCGAGAGCAGGCGGCCAAGACCTGCTTTGCCGAGCTGCATCCAACCAATAGCGCTCTGATCATGGCACTCAGCGGCTCCAAAGGATCCAATATCAATATCTCCCAGATGATTGCCTGTGTCGGACAGCAGGCCATCAGCGGCAAGCGTGTGCCCAACGGCTTCGAGAATCGCGCTCTGCCACACTTTGACAGGCACTGTAAGTAGCACTCCACATTGTTTCAATTACTCGTTAGATATCACTCGTCACATTATACTTGTAGGCGTCTGCGTTAACTTCTTGTTAGGTGCTAGCCTTGTCATGTAGTTAATTCTCGTTGCTTCATGTTACTCGTTACTTATCACTCGTCACATGTTACTCATGACTCGTTACTCGTTGCTTACAACTTAGCACAACTTACCTTGTTGCTCGTCGGTACTTAATACTCGTTCACTCGTTATGCATCACTCGCCAATCTTAAGTTCTCAACTTCTACTCTTCCTCACAATGCAAGCTTTCCCATGTAGCTAATTAGTTTTAACTGCTTATTACGTACTATTAATTTTGAATTAGTCGGTTTGTATAACTCGTCAAATATTACTCGTTACTTAAGGCTCATTTTTTGTCATTTATTTATTCAATACTAGCTTATTACTTGCTATGCTAAACATCTCATCAGCAACTCGTTGCAGTTCATTCGTTACTCGTTGCTCTTTACTCGTTACGCGTTACTCGCCACTTGGTGCTCTTCACATCTTAAGTGTTACTCGTTACTTTTGCATGTTCTCATTGCTCGTCTCCGGTTACTCGCTACTTTCTACACGTTACTAATTACTCCTTGATCTGCACTTGTAGCCGCTATTCCAGCCGCTCGCGGCTTTGTGCAGAACAGTTTCTACTCGGGCTTGACGCCCACCGAGTTCTTCTTCCACACAATGGCCGGCCGTGAGGGTCTCGTCGATACGGCTGTGAAAACTGCCGAGACGGGCTACCTGCAGCGTCGGCTGGTCAAATGTCTGGAGGATCTCGTTGTCCACTACGATGGCACAGTGCGCAATGCCATTAACGAAATGGTGGACACCATTTATGGCGGCGATGGTCTCGATCCCGTTTCCATGGAGACACGCAACAAGCCCGTCGATCTCAATCACCAATACGACAATCTGCGTGCCCAGCTGCCGTGCGGTGATCAGCAGCCGCTGGAAGCCGACAAAATACTCTGCACAGCGGAGTCGCTGTTCGAGCTGCCGGAATTTGCCGAAGCGCGATCCGACTTTAAGCTGGATGTAACGTAAGTTGTGAAGAGCTGGAAAAGATTTAAGTGACGCAGCCGATAGATAATACGAATCACTTCTTCCCGCCCTCAGCACTCACTTGAAGGCCGTCGCCAAGCGTATTGGCAGGCTGGAGCAGCAATACGGCGGACAGCATAAAGATCTGTCTCATCAGATCGAGTGCCTCAGCCGGGAACAGCTACTGGAGTTTCTGCGTCGCATCAACGATCGCTACAATCGAGCGGTCACCGAGCCGGGCACAGCAGTTGGTGCCATCGCCGCCCAGAGCATTGGCGAGCCGGGCACACAGATGACCCTCAAGACTTTCCATTTCGCTGGCGTTGCTTCGATGAACATCACGCAAGGTGTGCCGCGCATCGTGGAGATCATCAATGCCACAAAGACGATATCGACTCCTATTATAACAGCTGAGCTGCGCAACAATACGAGCATGGAGTTCGCGCGGCAGGTGAAGGCGCGCATCGAGAAGACAACGCTGGGTGAGCTGTCGTCGTATGTGGAAGTCGTTTGTGGACCCCAAAGCTGTCATTTGGTCATTGGCGTCGATGCAGCGCGCATTAAGGTGCTCGGCCTGCACATCGATTTGGATAGCATAATGTGCAGCATACTGAAATCCCGGCTGCGTATCAAGCCCAATCAATTGCATGCGGTGCCGAAGAAGTCAAGGATTATGGTACGTGTGGAGTCGACACGCAATGCCACGATCAATGCAGAGCTGGCGCGCTTAGCAACCACCATTCAGAACGTGGTCGTTGCGGGCCTGCCAAATATTGCACGCGCCGTCATCGCTGTCGACGATGCCCATCAGCCGCCCACCTACAAGCTGTGCATCGAGGGCTATGGACTGCGGGAAGTGATTGCCACCTTTGGTGTGGTCGGCGAGCGTACGCGTAGCAACAACATTTGTGAAATCTATCAGACGCTGGGCATTGAGGCGGCGCGCACCATCATCATGAGCGAGATCACCGACGTGATGGAGGGTCACGGCATGAGCGTCGATTGGCGTCACATAATGCTCCTGGCCAGCCAGATGACGGCACGTGGCGAGGTGCTGGGCATCACGCGACATGGTCTGGCCAAGATGCGAGAGAGTGTCTTCAATTTGGCATCGGTAAGTCAGACGAACCCAGTTAATGGGTACTTTTTACTCGCTGCTCGTCACATCTTTTGTCTAACTCGTTGTTTTATCTCTGCAGTTTGAGAAGACGGCGGATCATCTGTTCGATGCTGCTTACTATGGCCAGACAGATGCCATCAATGGCGTCTCAGAGCGCATCATATTGGGCATGCCAGCTGGCATTGGCACGGGCATATTTAAGCTTTTGCAGCTGCACGAGGACAAACAGGTGCCGGACATAGCACCGACCATCTTCCATGAGCTGAAGCTACATCCATTTGCCTAGCCCAAGCGTGTGCGCGCCAAACGTCTCTATCACCCGCCCGCCATCCACTCAAATCCTGTGAAATGCAGCAGCAGCAGCAGCAGCAGCAGCTAATTTTTTGTTAAACTTTAGATCGAAACGAGGTATAAGAAGAAGCGAAAACAATGTCAAGATTATGTCTAGGAGCTGCCTTTGCTCTAATACAGTTGAAGATGTGAAAGCAGATCTGTTCAAAGAAGATATTGAGCACAAAACTGGAACTCCCGAACTTCATTCAGAAATATCTCAAAATATTTAAATACTGACAACTTATAAAGAGTTTTATCTATGATAAGATATACCTTATGCAAATATAAGTTATTGGGTTAAACCCACTGCATACAGTGCATGTAATAAAGTGAAATATAATAAACGCTAACAAACACCCAATCATATAGAGGATTAGCTATATTAAGCAATTTTCTAAACGATAACCAACAGATACATACAATACAATAAATATTAAAATTCGGTATATCTGTGAAGTAAACCCAGTTTGTGTCCAAGCAAAAAGCACATTTCTTCATTAGTTTCACTTAGTTATTTATTACATAAATATATATATATATATATGTATATATATATATAGTATAGTTGTATATATTTTTCATAGGGTATTTGCTTAGCATGAATACAATTTTAAAATTACGATATTTGTTTTCTTTCTTCTGTTTTGTTTTAAATATACTTAAAAACAAATTAAAATAAAAATATATTATTATTAAAAAAAAAAAACAACAAAATTCGTTCGATATATTCAAATATGATTTCAATTAATAAAGCCTAAATTTAAAGATAGTTTTTTTTGCTGGATACTTAGAATAGACATAGGAGCATCATTAAAATACTAAAAAAAAAAAAAAACAACTAAAATATGCATATCACAGGATTATTTTTAAACAAAAAAAAAAATAATAATAATTGAAAATAGTTGAAAAGAAATTCTCTACTTAAGAAACTTTTATTTTTATTTCAATTATTTCATGAAATTTAAAAACAAAGTAAAACGCTGTTCACCTTGGAGCAAAAGCAGGTAAAGATCAAATATCTCATATGAGATTAGCCAAAGATCAGATCTTCCATATGGGGATTAGATATAGATATATATATATATATATATATATATATATATATACATACATATATATATATTTTCCACTTTTATTTTTGGGGTTTCATGCATATTTAATTGAGCTTAAGAACTAGTAAAAAAAATATGAATTTAAATATTTCAATTAGTTATGAAAGCTAGAATTAAAATCTATAGGTTATATATATATACATATATATGACTATATATGTATATATAAGATATATATTTAGTTTTATAAACTATGACTATAAAAAATTGTTTGCTTTGGGCTTTGTTTTACTTTCTCTGAGCCGACTAAAACTTAAGCTTAAAGAGAGAGAGAGTGTTTGTGTGTGTGTGTGGGTGTTGCGGGGATGTATATAAAAATCGAAGTCGATATCGATATTGACATCGTTATCGGAATAGAAATCGAAATCAAAATTGGAAATCAGTCACTGACATCGCCATGAACCTGGCTGGCACTAAACTAGATCTGGCTCCGGCATTGCTCCTATCTCCGATACCGACTCCGGTCCCGCCCCCGCCTGGGACTCGCCATAGCCGGCTCTCCTGTCATGGATCAGCATCGAGAGCGTTTCCAAGCTGCGACGCACCTGCAAGTCAAATCAATCATTATTAACCTTGTTCATCTACACGTATACATATATGTTTATATATTCTATGTCATGCGATAAGGCGCAGTCCACAGTCTCTTGGATTTTATAGCCCCCAGCTGGCCAGAAACCCCAGTAGGGGGGGGGGGGGGGGGTAAGCACTGTTTGATAAGATTATTGATTGATACACTGATCGAGCAATTGCCCAATTTAGCGATTGTCTAAGCAATTACCTCCCCTTTTATGAAGTAACTTCAATGAAAAACGTTTCATGTTCACGAGCTTTCTCTATTCGTCTTTCCCTCCCTCTCTCCTTATGCCCTTTGTTGTTACTCTCTTTCTAGTTACTTGCTCCGTCTATATTTCTTCATCTTCCATTTTCATTACATTTTTTGTATCCCATTTCTTTCGTTTTACTTTCTATTGCTTGTTTTCTTCAATTCTTTATCCGAGACTTATCTGTCCTTCGTCGGCTCTCACCTTGGATATTTGCTCCAGATTCCGTGTCAAAATATTTTGAGCTTCTGCCGTGCTTTTGTCCTGCAGCTCCTTTTGCCAGCGCAGCGCCTCAGCGAAGATGTCTTCATCGTTGCCCGGCCGCTGTTTACGGAGAAAAAATATTAGTACTTAATACTCGCCGAGAGCTGAGAGGTTCTACATACCAAATTGAAGTCAACTGGCGTTCGATAGAGACTCGTCTTCGCCTCGATGTCCAGGATGCGGTAGAGCAAGAACACGGAGAAGAGGGCTAGCATGAGGGCCAGCATTATGCCCAAATAGATGACATGCAGTTCAGTGAGTGACGGCAGCCGCAAGCCCAAATGCGCGCGGGCCGAATGGGCCAATCCACTAAGACGTCGACCCAACGATGGCGACGCTGCTACAGTTGGGGTTGGGGCTGTCACGCCCACAACTGTAATGGGCGACGAAGAGCTGGAAGGAGGGCCAGAGCTGGATGCAGCCGAGGCAGTTGCGGAAGTAGAAGCGGAACCATTTATCGAACGGCTACCAGCGCCGTTCTGAATGAGCAGCACCTGAGCGCCAGCTATCGGCTCCTCGTAGTGTACAATGGGCGGAGCGGAGCTGCGAATGGTCACCGGGCTATGTGAAACGGCCAACGAGCTCTTTGCCTGAAGATCTGATTGGATGACAAAGTCGTTAGTCGTTAGTTAAACTGAAATATATCGGATATATAGTCGCTATTTACCGGGATGTCGGTCACTGCCTCCTCGCTGCCTGAGCAACATTTGTGGCTCGGATTCGATGGCTGCTGCAGCGGCTGCAGCTGGATCTCGGAGATGTGGCGGGCTCTCGTTGCCGCTGACCGAGCAGCTGCTGTCGTCGTCGAGCAGATACTCTTCCTGTAGCTCCACATCCACCGGCAGGGGCTTGGGCAGGATCTCCGGCCCTGTGGCGAGATGGCTGCACACGTTGCACATTAGACGAAATGCGGACTCGCGGCTGATGAAGCTGCCAAACACATGACGTTCATCGGCTGTGGCCACGCCCACAGCGTTTGGTATTATCTTAACGGTTTTCTCTTTGGAGATTTTCGTTACCGAAGACGTGGGAATAACAACCTGAATTAACAACAAAATTAAAGTTCGATGGCGCCACTCCTAAAGGGATGAAGGGACAACTCACCTTGGTTACATAGCCAAAGACATTGGAGTAGAAGGCGAAATGCTCATCCGTTATGTAGAGATGACCCTGCAGCGGAATGTCGCCAACGAGCGCGCATGAAAAGTCTACAAAAAACAAGGCGAAAAGTTAGATTTGCTTTAAGCTTTAATATTATACGAAGGGAAATGGCTTCTATACTTTTATCTATATATCTATCTGTCCATACCTATATCTTGCTTAAAATCTATTCAGCTATCTATGAATCTATCTATCTATACATCCATTTATATATATATATCTTAATATACCTATATCTAGATTTACATCTATCTATATATACATAGATCTCTTCTAGCTCTCTATACCTCTATCTCTGTTTACATATATATACCTATCTATCTATATATATCTATCTACCTACACATATATATCTCCTTACTTCTGTCTATCTATACATCTATCTCTGTTTTCAATTACATATTTATCAATCTATACATCAATTAATCTATGCAATATAGTAATCCTATCTGAGCTATTATAATATATATTTCAACCGCTATGAGTAGCTTTACCAAGTTTCATCAACATAGAACAGTTGAATAGTATTATGTTAAAAGTATAGCAATCGCTAGCATATTTGATTGGCTGATGGAATTTAAGAGAACTTGTTGCTTGTGACGTAAGTTGTGATAGTTTATAAAAGCGCCACCTGTGGGCATTTACTTACAATTGATGAGCTTCTCATCTTTGGAGACTTGCGAGAAATGGCGATGGAACTTTTTTACACGCGAACTGGAGACTTCCTTGCGCTTCTTCTCCTTTTCGGTTGGCGTTGCGGTTACTGTGGCGCTGCCCGCAGCTGTCGATGAGGACGCAACGCCGCTGCCGGCGCCAGCGGCGGCAGATGTTGAGGAGATCGCTGCCACCGCTGACGCCTGCTGCAGTTCATGTTGTTTGGCCGTGTTGCCGCTTGCCTTGCCCTGACCCTGAGTCGGGCTTTGACGGTTGCGTGGACTGGGAGTGGAGCTGCTGCCGAGACTATGAGCGCTGCCGCTCGACTGCAGCGGACCGTTGTAACTGCTGAAGCTCTGAGGCAAGGAACTGAAAAACAAGACAAAAGCATAAAAATCATCACAAATCATGTTAATTAAGTTTCAATCATAGTTCATGAACTAAACAAAAACGATTTAGATATTCAGTTGTTCAGTCTCTCATGAATCCCTCATGAACTGGTAATTGACTTAGTTACTTAATTACTTAGTTTACTGCTCACAAAGAACTAAATTAGTTCACTAGTTCATGTGAATGAGAAACGCTTTCGCAGATCACCCAAAAAATTCAATAGTTCATAGAAATTCATAGAAATTTTTTGAAATAATAAATAATAAACATATTTTGAGCTAGTTCAAAATAACTACCTCAAACTTAAACTAAACTTAAAACTATCTAAAGAGAAATTTGTAAATTAGGGAGTAGAAGCTTTAACTTATAGTCCATATTATATATTTTATATTCTATATTCTATATTCTATATTCTATATTCTATATTCTATATTCTATATTCTATATTCTATATTCTATATTCTATATTCTATATTCTATATTCTATATTCTATATTCTATATTCTATATTCTATATTCTATATTCTATATTCTATATTCTATATTCTATATTCTATATTCTATATTCTATATTCTATATTCTATATTCTATATTTTATATTCTTTATTCTATATTCTATAATCTTTTCACAAGCCATGAGCTTTGACAGTATCTGGCGCAATCTTTATCAGGCGCTAACCTGAACGATAACATAATCCCGACCATGGCCTCAGACCTATCGGTTGGAAAAGGGAACTGAGTGGGCAAGGTTGAGGGGAAGTGCTTAAGATAGAGGTTGCCAAGAGCTCTGGCTGAGGTTTCTATTACCATCTATGGTCGACTGCAGGAAACTGGGTTATGCTATGGCTAAGGTTTAGCTAATGCCAATTGAGTGGCCATAAAGCTTTTATGATCGCAGCTGGTGGAATACCTTTGTCAATTAATAGTCCAATTAAAAGTGGTAAAAATTAGCGATACGCGAGCACGAGTCGCCATCTGTTTGCCACCCGAGATAATGAAGTGTGAATTCTGAAGAATGGTGATCGGTTAAACACAACGTCATCGTTAAAATAGAAAATTGGCGAGTATCAAAATTCACTTTTTTTCCACGATCTATACAATACAGAAAGGGTATATTGGGCTATGCATTAGCATCTGGATTTATTAGGTGAAAATCAATGATTTCTTATAGCTGATAGCTTCTTTTATGTTCAATGTTGTGTTCGATAAATATCGATCTTCAAATTAGGTTTCTTGGTCAAAGCTGCAAGCAACAGGGTATCTCCTAGTCGCGCATTTTTTTACATATTATTTTTCTTATATTTTGTTATTGAATTCAGGAACTGTAGAATCATGCATTGATATATTGAAAGAACTTATCGCTAGACGTACAAGTCGATTTATGGTCAGAAGCTCATGACATTCTCGAGATTTACGATGCTTCATTTGTGGCTATCTCTTTTTGTCTCTCTCTTAATATCTCTTTCTCTCCCTCCCTCTCTCTCTTTCTCTCTCTGTGTCTCTTTCGAACCACGCTCTCTAAGCATCATAGTCATCTAATATTTTGATCTACTTGCATTATAAGCATTCCCAAACATAGACTGATAAGGTTCCATAATTTATAGTATATACTTATTATCTATATCGTACCGGCGCATGAATCAGGCAAAGCGTCGGCTCAGCAGCCAACTGCATTGAGGTGGCCGACCCACAGCTGAAACTATATATAGATATGGATATATCTAGTCGATAAGTGTTGACAATTTGTTTGCAAAGTTTTATTGGGCTTTTCTGAGCATAATTATATTTGTATTCTATCTACGGGTTAGATAGCTAGAGTTCAAAGCATTGCTTCGTAAGCTCAAACAGTTCAAAACTTTCCCTAATCGTTGACTCATTTTGCGAATGTTGTCATTATCCAAGTGTAAACGTGTTTTTATGTTCTTTGTTGTTGTTGTTGTTTCTTTTAGTTCTCTAAGGCTCGTCAATTATCGCGTAAATGTCAGGTGTGGAAAGTATTACACAAGACAAATTGTTTTATAACAGGTCTTTCAAATCGGTTAGGCAATTGAGTAATGAAATCTTATTCTCTGTTTTCTTTTTATCAATGAAAATCTTGCAATATTCATTGATTCGTTCATGAGTCGTGTCGTAGTTATATAAAAGTGTATGGAAAAATAAAAAAATCGAACTTCCTTTAATAATATGAGAATACTACAAATAGAGACAGAAATTTACTTTTTTATTCTTTGAGTATATATACTATTCTATATTCGAAATACTTGTTTATCGACGCTATTTTGAAGCTTCCTTTGCTCTTTTATAATACTTTGTCTCGTTGGAGCACTTTTAAATGCATTTCTTAAGGAAGCTGGAAGTTCACAATTTCCTGTTGCAACACTTTATTATTAAGTATAAACTAGAGTTCATATCCCAAATATATTTACGAAATATTATGCAGCAATTTTAAGGATCGCTTAAGCTTTGTGTTCTTTTATTTTCGCCCCAGCTTAATTATGTCTTTAGTCAAGCGCCAATTCGCTTCTAACTAACTTTTCGCTCGTGACTTACGGCGTTGAATTGTATTGCTGCTTGTGCTTGCTATTCGCCTTGAGTCGCTCGAAGCCATTTTGAGCTTTGCTCTCTTTTGTAGAGTGCTCTCGCAGGCTGCCGCCGGCAGTGTTGTTGTTGCTGCTGCTGCTGGATTCGATGAGGGACATGCGTTTGAATGTGCGCGCTACGGTACGTGCGCCACCGACAACAACGTCGCCGGCTGCAAAGACAAAGTTGCGATCGCGGGAACGGGAAAGGGAGCGTGTGCTGTTGTCTTTCTTCTGACGTCTGACAACCGGTGGATGCGTCATATTGTTGTAATCGGTGCTCTCAATGCTCTGGACGCTTTCGTTCTTATTGTTATTGTCATCGAGTGGCGGCGAGTCATTGGACACGCTGCGTATATCAACACGTTGCAGCGGCGATGTCGCCTCACTCTCCATCGCAAGATCCTGCTCAAAATAGACGGTGAGACGACCAATGTTGCGTACATTATCCGATACGTGCATTTTACAAAAATTCGTTGGTTTTTTAATTTGGATTTGAATTTACCGTTTTAAGTTGCACACAACAAAAATAAGAACAATAACAAAAAGTACGGTATTAAACACGCGCGCTGTCTCACTTGCATTCGAATAATGCAAGCATACAAATGAGTTATAAGTGTAACCGAAGCTGCGATTAGGCAGCGAGCGCGTTTCAACTGTTAACGGTGATTGTTTGTCTTTTGTATCTCGTATTTCGTATTTCGTGTCGCTGCTTGTCACTTATTTTGCTTTAGCACCATCCGTCGCTGGTCGTGTCGCGCGCCAGCGTCTCGCATTAACTGAAACGTTTAACAGTGCCGGCAACCGCAACAGCGACGCAGCAGCTGCCATTGGACATTTTTACCATTGCCCCAGTCGACGCCGACGCCGGCAGCAACGATGGCGACGTCAGCGGCAGTTTGTTTATAACATGCTGCAGTTTAGGAGAGCGCGCACAGTAAATGGCGTCAGTTGTTGATGAAAGCATAATATACCCTGCACTGCGAGTGTCTTAAGTGTACAGACTTATAATATACCATGAATTATTTTGTTTTTACTTTTTATTTATATTAATATAAATATTATGTTATTTATAATTATAATTATGGTATATTAACCTTAGCTAGTTGCACAATGTTTCACTTATGTGAGAAGCACTATACCCGCTTATGTTAGCACATATGCTACAGAGCATTGTCTTTGCATTTGCTCTGTCTTGCTTTTGGTTTTGCTTTTGGTTTTGCTTTTCCTTTTCCTTTTGCAGACGTATTGAGATAGCACTTGGTTCTATCTCAATTAGTTAATTGTTAAACTTTGAAGCTCTGTTCGCAATTTGTTTATTTCTTGTCGAAGCGTATGAAGTGTCAATTAATTAATTAATTATCTATTATCAAGCACAATTGTGATGTATTGTACGAAAGAGAGAGGAAGGAAGGTAGAGAGAGAGAGAGAGAGAGAGTGGGAGAGAAAGACAAAGTTCTACTACTAGTACTAGTTCTGTATATAAGCATACATATATTTCTTATATTCTCTATTATGAATACATTGTAAATATTTATCAATGGCATTCTTTGTTCGCTCTGCAAGGGCAGATAACGCATATCTACATTGGCCGTTTTGGGGTCGCTTGTTGGGGCTATCCTGTGAGCGGATTACTGTGAGTTGCGGCGCTCATGCGTCTGCCTGAATGATTCATCAGGTTCATAGAAATATAAACGATTGATTATGCACTGGTAGTTGACATTTAATTGCTTATTGACAACCTGCTGTTCCATCTTTAGACTGACTCATCCAGAGTGCCCGGGAGGGGGCAGAGGGGACGGCGTGCCAAAGCTGCTACCACCAATTGGCAATGCTTTAGCTCGTGGCGTGTGAACCACATTATGAATCATGTGCTCTTATCAAAACGCGTCGCCAAGAGAGACGATCGACAGAGGGCTCGCTGCTCAACATCAATGCAATCGACTTTCAAGTGAAAATCAAACATAAATATATCAATATAAAATTATTACTTTATAAATATTGAAAGACATATGTATATGTATGTTCGGTGCACATGTTCGATGTATGCTCCCATTTGATATATGTTAGCTCAAATATAAAACCCGCACGGCAGATTAAGAAAGGGCATCTCTAGGGAGCGCCAGCATTAAAAGCTCTTAGCAGGAAACTTGGCTCAAAAGCGACTAAAACTGGTTCGAAATTTGGTCACTCTAAAATGTTATTTACAAATTTTTTATAGATACTTAGACTTATATTAATACTAAAATAAGTTAAATTTGAATTGAAAGAACTTAAGGTTTAGCAGTAAGCTCGACACAGTTGCGATTCTAAATTTACCTTTAACATTATTTCACAGAAATTTAGCCTTATCTTACTATTTATACTAAAAGAACTAACATTTTTGTATGCTTCAAAAATTTTTGGAGTAAATATTGATAAAGGTCTTTTGGTTTTTTGTTTCTCTCTTAATTTAGTAAATACTGAACGAGTATTGAGCAGTCAGAGTCACCAGAATTTGGCTTACACACAATCCTCAAGTTTACAACGAAATGTGATTATGATGATCATGAGTAACTCGTTCGCCTGAATTGGCTATGAATGATGACATATCATTATGAGATATCTAAGGAGTTGCCTTGTAGTGAAGTGAGTAACCCATATCTAGCTACTCGCTGCTAAGCCAACGAGTGCAAGCCATGCGACTAGCTGTATCTGAGAATTGTAGATAGGGTTTGGTTAAGATGTGACTGAAGAGTGGCGAATGAGAAGAATAACGAGTACGAGATGTATCGATAAGTTTTTTTTTGCTCTAACGAATGAATATTTAATTTTGTTATACTGGCGAGTAGTCGATAAGTACGAGATGCCGCCCCAAAACCCGAGTGTGAACTACTTTTGTTTTCAATCTTGGCGAAAATGTGGAAGGGATTGATTACGCTTAGATGCATTCGGCATCTCTAGCTTTTGTATTTTTTAAGTTGTGTTAGAAGAATCAATTAAAAATATCGATTTTTATTGTTTATAAGGATCAAGGATAGAACGATTCAAGAATATATATGTTCTTTATAGCGCCTCCTAATAACCGTTGCATACATTTGCCGTCAATGGGTATGATGAAAAGGAACGGCTATAAAATGTTTTTCAGGCACTTTATGGACGTGTTTATCTATTCAGCTGACTTTAGCAATAATCTGTTGCTATTTTTGATGGGTGTGCGTGTGTGTGTGTGAAGCGCAGCTGGCAAACACCTGCTACACACCACACACACACAGGCACACTACATTTACAAGCTTTTTTGATGTTTTCTGAGAAGTGCCTGATTAAGAGAACAACGAAAGACCGCATGATTCCATTCACGCCGCCCCACGCCCATCGTGTGACCAGAAAACCGCCCCAAACCGACGAGCAAACAAAAAGCAACAAAAAAAAACATGTGAATTGGCCCATTGATAAGACAAACAGGTGGGCAAAATAAAAGGTAAGAAGAAGCAGCAGCAGCGGCGGCGGCAGCGGCAGCGGCGATCAGCGTCGTTAACTGCGCTTTAGCCATATCTTATCGATGAACATTGTTTCAATTGCCAAGCAAATTATTCACACACGCACACCCATACACACACAGAGAGAGAGGGAGACAGACAGACAGGCGGGCAAGCAGGCACAACAGGTAGCTAATTGCTGTGGCTCACCTGTGCTCCTGGCCAAGCGTCTCTGGCAGGGATAACTGTGCAGCCAAATGCTGGCGTCTAAGCTGCAGCAGTTGTTGTTCCCGCTGCTGTTGTTCGTTTAGAGTTGCCGCTGCTGTTGCTGTAGGATTGTCGCCAGCTGCTGCTTGTCCTGGCAGCTGCAGCGCTGCCATGGAGCTAGTTGCACGCTCATCGACGGTGCAGTTGCTGCCACTAACGACGCTGTTTGTCGATCTGTTGATTAGGCAAAGAAAACAGAAAAGCGCACAGCCAATAGCCGAGCGCGCCCAACGCGGCGTATGAGTAACTTCTGCCACATCAAAATAAACCAAAAACAAAACTGTTGCATGCTTTTAGGCGGCGGCATAAAAATTCCAACATAAAACTCACTAGCATATTGCTTTGGGCTGTATGTGAAGGCGGCGTGTGACTGTGACTGAGCGAGCGAGCGATCGATCGAGAGAGAGAGAGGGAGAGTGTGTGTGTGTGTATGTGTGTGAACTTCTCTAGTATATAGTTTGAATACTTGCATATTTATAGCTTAAGGTGTGTGATGGCCTGTAGTGTCATTTTGACAGGCACTGGAACTATCACTCGTTATGATTTTAGTTACTCGTTACATTTGCATCATATATTACTCGTTATAGTTTACTCGTTCACTTAGCAGAGTAATTCTTTGCTCTATCTTATAGTTAGTTGACTTTCAGTGTTTCATTCAATCGTTCTATGTATCTCGAAAGTTACAAAAAAATGTCTCGAGTTGTATTAAGTGCTCGGTGTCAAATCAAATGTTACTCGTCACTCCATTGCCCGTTACTTAACACTCGCTATTTTATATTTGACTTCGACTCTAAGTTACATCGCCTCTTGTTGCTACTTGAGTGCTTATGCTACTCGTTGCTTATGACTCGTCATTGTTTACTCGTTATACACATATTACCTTACATGTTAAACGTTAGCTTCTTATTCTCTAAGATTCCCAATATTTATTTTATTCGTTACTCGAGGGAATCAGAGACATCAACAACTCGAACTGGTTCTCTTGACTATATTTATGTAAAATCTTTTATCTATCACAATTTGTCTACATAAGTGTTATAACCTAGATAGAGCGGATATCGGATAACACAGATGTGAAATTGAAATGCCCTTGTGACATATAATGGTCCATTCCATATTTATTAATTGCAACTGTTTAGCTAATTGAGACGAGCAGCATGCAAACTAATTAAGGTCTAGCAAACTGCTCAATTGATGACATTGATATCAAGCTATATATATAGGTATATATAGATATTGATATTAATATAGACACGACACATTTCGCTCATTTTCCACTGTTCCAGGTGGAATTTAGTCCACCATTCGCCAACTATCACGCTTATATACTGTATCTATAGCAAATTTCAGTTGTTTTTGCTCTTAAAGTTTCGTCTATTTAACACTCAACAAGCTTATATTTTTAATGTCATAGAAAATAACTATGTTCCGCTTGATTTCCACTGTTCCAGGTGAAATTTGTGCATATATATGTGCATGATATGTGTTCTATTGAACCTGTTTCCTTGACAATGGTAATGCATCGATTCTGCCATTTTAATTATTTAAGTCCGTAAACCGAAGGGTTCGTCGGTTGCCCCTAAATTGTACCTCGTAAACCCCACTTGCTTCCAACTGCCACTCGTGTAATTGTCCAATAACAATTAAAAATGCATAGTTCATAAGCTCGTTTCCCAAGCGTTTCATTTGCATTTATAATCTGCGGGAAATAATGGAAATTTCGAAGTGCGCTAAGGGACCTGATGATATTCCTAAATTCCCCAAGAAAGGAATGACCTTTCGAAAGTCTGACAAACTTTAATTTTCTAAGCTAAAATTAACTGCTAGACTAATCCATTGGAAGTTGGGGTAGCTTTCATGAAATATTTATAGCGCCTTTAGCCTGTGACTTTTGATACTGGCAATCCTCGTGATTCCTCTTCTTAGGAGACTTTCATAACAGTAAATTTACGAATGCTTTTGGACAGTTTTTTTTGAAGACTTCAAATTATGCAGTTTGGAGAGTTTGAACAATCCTTTGAAGACTTTGGCTAAAATTTAATTCTAAGTAAAATGCATTTGGAGACTTTAATATGCGTTGCTAAGATTTGCTTTAAATGGTTTTTGGAGACTTACAAATAATTGTATAGAAAACTCAAAAAGAGTTTTTGGAGACATTGGCCACTTTAGAATTATCCAATAGAATTTTAACTAACTGGAGTTTAAGAAGAATACAAAAGCCTGTATGTTAATTAAGTAAAACTTATCATGTTTGGAGACCTCGATTTAAGGAACAGTTCGCAATGTCTGGGACAACTTGTAAATTATAAAGATTGTACAATGAATAGCTTTCGAGGAGCTTTTTATTTTGGAGACTTTCGTCCATCTGCAAGAGTTAGAGACCAACTTAAGCGCAAATAACTTTGGATAACAGATAACAATCCATCAAGTTAGCCTTTGGTTAACAATCGAGTTGTGACTGTGAACTAAGGAGCACTATGATTGTCAGTTGCGTTTGGGGAACAGCACACAGAGCACTCGATTACTGTATTTAAATTTAAATAGTATTTCACTTTTTTTTCTTTTTTTTATAAATATATTTAGTTTTAAAAATTGCGAAAGCGAACCATAAATTCATATTGTGTCGTGCAGAGGATTCACTCAACAACTATTGAAACGTATCCGAGTAAATAAGATAAACAGATATAAGAAAGGAACTAGGAAGGACATACTTAGCACATATATAGGACATATATAAATATATATATTTCAAGGACAATATGCCAAAACAGTCGATTAGCGTTAAGAAGAGCTCGCTCAGCGCGGTCGAACAATACGAGCTGAATCAATGGCTCGAAGAAAATAACATTAGTTCAACAAATTTGCGACGATCCTTTACGGATGTGTTGCCCTTGGCCCGTCTACTCTCCCGATACTATCCAGACATAATTGATCTCAACTATTATCCTCCGCGGAATAGCGTGCAGAATAAGCTATGCAATTGGGAATCGTTTAACAAACGTGTCCTCTCCAAATTAGGCTTACAGCTGACGCGAGAGCAAATGATTCGCGTGGCGCGCAGCGTGCCTGGCTCTGTGGATCAGCTGCTGTATAGCGTCATGCGGGTCCACATGGCGGCCGAGATGAAGGCGCGCGAAGAGCATGAATCCACCGACGATTATGACGAATCGGTGCCAACGGCAACGCTGCTGCCATCGGCCGATACGGAGGACAAGCTGGATGAAGTAAAGCCATCGCCCTTGCCGCTGCCTACGGCGCCGCCACTGATGCTGGCCAATAAGTTTAACAAGCCGTTAGGTGTGACGAAGGCCCAGGACAATAAAGATCAAACTACAATTTCAGTCAAGAGCCTGAAACAGGCCGCAGCATTGCCGCCAACAGCTATGAAACGAACAGGTCTGTCGCGAGGCGGCACCGGAATTGGAGGTGGCGGTACACAACGTACGGGACGCAATAAGCGGCAGTTGCAGCAGCATAGGAACGCCCATGTTGCAGCAGCGGCCGCCGAATCGCCATCAGCGGCAACAGCAACAACAGCAGCAACGCCAGCCAGAGCAACGGCATCAACAACGACAGCGTCGCGACTAAGAGGTGAACAAGTTAGTGTGCTACCCAAACAACGTATGGTACTTTATTCCATCTATATGCAGGCCGCCAATCAGCTGCAGCGAAGAAACGCTAAGATCGCCAGATTTGATCAGTGGAGCGCCCATCTGGAGAATATGTTGCAGCTAAAATGTGAACGGATCGATGAGCTGCAACGTCAGGTGGCCGTTGCAATGTTAGGCGCACGGCAAGTGGGGCGACGAGCGAGGCACAAGAAGCGCCATACGTCAACCACGATTGGCGGCATGCTCGAGGCAGCTAAAAGGTTATAGTAGATTACACGCACACACTCTCACACTCACATACAAACAGACGTGTCGACCCGACCCACACACACTGACGTATACTGGGCCCATACACACGTACGCACAGACATGCCAAATACATGTTGTTTCCGTTCGGCTGTTCGCATATGTATATATATGCAAATATATATATATTTATATATATATGCATATATGTGTCTCTGTATATATATGAATATATATATGATTTGTTGCTGCTTCATTTCCTCTGCTACGATTCAGTTCAGTTTACTGCTCCATTGATCTGAGCTACCAATTTATTGACATCAATTTTTTTGGCATACGCTTTGTAGAAACCCTATCATTTCGGCCACATCGAAAGCAATATCCAAGAAAGTGAAAAACCACAAACTATTTATAATTCTGCGAAGTGTATTTCAAATAAACAAACATTAAGAAGCTTTGTTAGCGCATTCACACACTACGAGTTTTGTAATTCTCAAAATGTTTCAGCCTCATTTCGCAGCTAAATGTTAGCTGGAACGAGAGTCGCTCAACAAGTTTGCGGCATATGTTTTTCAGGTGTATTGCTTAAATGTGTTGTAAATACATAGAAGAGAGCTTTTGCACAAGCTTCTATCTATACACCGAAGGTTACTAAGCAACTTGATGACAAAAGTTTGTTCAATGTTTTACTTTGGTTAAGCGTTTAACTTGGCTTTTCTACAAAAGCTCATTTAAGCGCATTATTAAAGAGCATTTGCGAAAGAAATTTGTAAACGGTAGTTGCTTGATATTTGGACGGGATTAAGTAAGATAAAGCTCATTAAAGCTTAATTTAAGCTTTTTGTCAAGCTTTGGCGTCCTGGCATTTGTTGCAAAGTTTTAGTTTTTACTTGATTAAGTGCACAGGAAGAGCTCTTATTGAAAGCTTTGGCATGCTCATATATTTTTGCATAGTATCGATATTTATCGATATATGAAATATCTGAAAGAATAGAAAAATTTTAAGTTTGTAGCTTTTGCACCTGTCAAAATGCTCGCGTTCATACAGACAGAAAAACGGACAGTTCTAAGCTTAACTATGGCCGTAGATCAAGAATATATATATATATATATTTGCTAAGTCAACGCAGCCTTTATCTGCCCAAAATTGTCATTAACAATGAGCCAAGAAATGTCCACATGCATATTGAAAATTGAAGAGCGAGCTTTGAAATGTTTGATGATCATCGAACATATCTGAATCGGAACACACTGTGCGACAGTTCTCATAAATTGTATATATATATATTTCTTATTATCAAATATTCTGAACAATAAAAGACACGCACAAGCCGTGCAAAATGCACACAATCAGCAGCAAAAGCCTCAGCGGCGAGGAGATGGCCGAGGTGCACAAATGGCTCCAACAATACGACATAAATACATCGCGTTTGCGACGCGAATTCTCGGACGTTTTGCCATTGGCGGAGATGATGAAACGGGATCATCCACGTTTGGTCGACCTGAACAATTTTCCGAAACGGAGCAGCGTCCAGTTGAAGGTGGCCAATTGGGAGACGTTCAATTATAAAGTATTGACCAAATTCAATTTGACATTGAGCCGTGAATTTATCGAGATGCTCGCGACGGGCGCCCATGGGGCGGCCGAGGTGTTGCTTCATGAGATCATGAGATTGAAGAAGCGTCAGCGTGTCGTGGAGACAAGAAATGCGATACTCGCTCAGGAGCAAATCTGGGAGGAAAACGATGAGGTAAAAACGGTGGTCGTTAACAAGCAGGTGGGCGATGGCATCGTGCAGGTGCCACAAAAGATGATTCTCTACTCGCTGTATGAGAAAATGGCACGCGACAATCAGACCAAGGATCAAATTATTGAATCGAATCAAAAGCGTTTGGCCCACATGGAGAACATCATCAAAGTGAAGACCGAGCGTATCGATGAGCTGCTCATGCAAATGGGCAAAGCCCCCAACAAGCTATGCAATAGTCCACGTCTGCAATGCTCCAGTGTCACAAGACTTCCATCCACATCTATGATAAGCTACGAGGCATTGGGCGCTATACGTAAACGACATCCAAATACGCCGGCCTCATCCGATTAGGGGCATGCGCACACGTGGACAGAAGGAAAGCGAGAGACATAGAGAAAGAGGGAGATGGAGAGGGATAGAGAGAGAGAGAGAGAGGGAGAGAGAGGGAGAGAGAGGGAGAGAGAGAGAGAGAGAGAGAGGGAGAGAGAGGGAGAGAGAAAGAGAGGGAGAGAGAATGAGAGGGAGAGAGAATGAGAGGGAGAGAGAGAAAGAGGGAGAGAGAGAGAGAGAAGGGGAGAGAAACAAGAAGAGAGAGAGACAGAAGGAGAGAGAGAGAGAATGAGAGAAAAAAAGAGAGAATGAGAGACAAGGAGAGAGAATGAAAGAGCGAGAGAGAGAAAGAAATATATAGGAGATACAATAGCAGACACATAAGGAAGATAGAAAAACTGAAAATGAAATTGAAAGAGAGAAACGAGGAGAGAGAAAGAGAACTGCACAGCGAGAGGGAGAGAGAGAAAAACATATGTAGAGAGAGCAAAAGAGAAACACAGATAATAAGGAGAGAGGGAAAGAGAGAGAGAGAGGGCAATGGAAAAAGTGAAAGAGCAATACAAGGAGAGAGAAAGGGAACATTAGAAAGAGATACAGAGAGAGACTTGGCTATTGCCACGCTCTTGCACTCACACACCCACACACGTACATATACATGCGCAAGCTCAACCGCACGCACACACACACACACACACACACTCACGGACACAGCCATAGCCATATATTTGTATTATCAGATCGTATCGAAGCTCGATCCAGTTGCATTCGCATGTTTATTTCTTCATAAAATTATATTCAAATGTCTTTATTTCCAATTAACATTTTCTGTTATTTCTGGCATCATCCGTACATCCAGTTTTTCGCTATCGAACTATCAAAATTAAAACCGAACATTTTGAAATTGTAGTCGAAAACGATTAAACTTGAAAGTTCAAATACGAATACGAATATTATGGAAAAAGATATGTTTTTGTTTTCTTCTTTCGATAATGACGCAATGTTTCATTTCTTAGGCGTTCCTGTTGTCTAAAGATTTTCCTTCGCGCGTTGTTGAGACCAAATATTGCGAAAATGTTAATTAAAATATTGTTTATACTTGGTTACAGTCTTTAATTTCCCACTTGTTCCTTTAAAACTGAATTTATAGATACAGTTGAGTCTTCGGACGCAACTACATTTCATTTCCACTAGTTCCATACAAAATGCTTTCATCTAACATTTCAAATTTATTTCAGCGCATTTACGTTTCAATACCATCCGTTCCACTTAATTTAATTGCATAGAACGACTATTGGGATCATTCTATTCGCTCCCTTAAGAGTTTAGTGTTTCAGGACCATTTTAACAAGTTATGTTTCACTTCCACTTGTTCCCCTCTCCACTATTGTCTTTAACGGCCATTTTAATAAGCTGTGTTTTATTCCCATGCGTTCCACTTAAATCTACTGTTTCACTACTCCAACATACACCAACTATCGTCTTTGAATACGTCTAGCATATTAGATCTCTATGCGTACCTGGCCTTGAGCAAAAGACGCTTCGTGACCGCCGGTCGAACGGATGCTCTCTCCTGGTTGCTGCAGTTGCTGTTGTTGCTGTTCCCGTTGGTCTGCCGACTCCAGTTCCAGCTGCCATTGCTGACAGTCAGGCTCTGGGCGAGACAAAGCAAGGCGCTGCCGCTGCCCGTGCGATACATATTGTAGATATATATATACACTTTTCGCTCCTCGGGGGGTTTGTTTACGAGTAGCTGGCATCTATCTCTGTGCGTCAAATTTGCAGCTTGATGGCTTAATTAAATTAAGTTTTATGGACTTGCTGTGGGCGTGTTTGTCTGTCGGCCCGACTATGCATATACAAATATATATACTATATATATATATATGTGTGTAAATGAGCGTTAAACGCTTTGATAAGCATTAAAATACACCGAGACAAACACAATTTAGCGTGTCAGGTCAGCCGCATGCCTCCCCACCAAGTGTCTTCAATTACATGTGCGAATTTAATACCAACGACCGCTGTTACATATATATATATATATATATATATATATATATATATATATATATATATATATATATATATATATATATATATATATATATGTATATATATGTATCTACATATTCCAATTATTGGTGTTCTTGATTGACTTCGATTTTGCTTAGCGCGGCACAAGCATAGGACGCTGACTGCGTGCCCAAAAGCATTGACAGTGCAATTTTATACGAAAAGCCTGTTTGGGTCAATGCGAGGGTTGCAGCAGCAAACTAAGAACTGCATGAGTCATATACTTGGCTAAATACAGCTTTAAGTGGCCAAGCTGAGCCGCTTAGCTTGAGCACTTTGAGCACTATTCACCCCCTTTTAGCTTAAACCGCTTTAAACCGGTTCATTTGACATAAAACAGCCTGTTATGGACTATTTGATGTCGTATATATCAATTGAAGGCTAAAACCGTTATCGAAGATATCAATTCGAGCCATATTTGTAACGGTTCAGGCAGTAATAACGCGGTTCACTTAGTCTATGCAGTTGATGAAGTCTCCACCACAGCTTATTTTATACTTAGTTACTTATCTAAGGAATAACCCTTGAACCGGTTCAGCTAATACAACGTGTAATCATGAAAACTTATAACTAAATTGTGTCACTTGATTTTCTTATCGAAACAGCTCAAAGCTCATAATACTAATACCCGAACCATCTCTGAACCGGTTCAGAAAATGAAATAGAACGCTTTTACGGAACTTGAACATATGAAAATATTTATCTGAGTAGTTTGCTTAATCATACATTAGTTGAGCTCGTCTGCTAAAGCTTCTCTGATAAATCGTAGATAAAACACTTTTGAACCAGTTCACATGCCTAACATTTAAATGAACCGGTGAATCAATGTGAACTTGCACAAAGAGTTCACTTATTGTGCAGCACTTAATTCGAGTGCTTTGGGGTATATTTGGGCGGCGCCACGCCCCATGTGACACTCGGTTCAATTGACACAGCCTTGTGGTTTCTCACGGCCCTGTCCCTGAATTTGCTTTGTTTTGCGCGAATTGCATTTTTGAAATTTAAATTTTTATGGCAAGTTGAGCAAGAGAAAAGACAATTGAATACGAGAACAAGTATCGATTTACAGAGTCCGGCTCTACACAAGCTATAAAGCTTATGCACATGTCGCGTACACTGAAACAAATAGCAAATACGCGAGAGACACAATAAATTTGAGCAATCAATCATGAATTAAAATGAAAGTCATCAATGAATGATGATTTACAATCATTAATTAAAAATAATGAATTATCAACCATCAATTATCGATCACCAATCATAAATTATGAATCATTAGACATCAGTCATTAGTCATTAGTCATTGGTCATCAGTAACCAGTCACCAGTCATCAGTCATCAGTCATTAGACATCAGTCATCAGTCATCAGTCATCAGTCCTCAGTCATCAGTCTTCAGTCTTCAGTCTTCACTCATCACTCATCAGTCATCAGTCATCAGTCATCAGTCATCAGTCATCAGTCATCAGTCATCAGTCATCAGTCATCAGTCATCAGTCATCAGTCATCAGTCATCAGTCATCAGTCATCAGTCATCAGTCATCAGTCATCAGTCATCCGCCATCAATCATCAATCATAAATCATAAATGGCTTAATCAAAAGAAAAACTTCTTTCCAACTGTCGATTCTTGTGCTTTAATATATACGTTCAGGGTAACCCCTAGTCGGGTATTCCTTATTAAACCACTCTTGCTTTTTTTGTTTTCTCTTTGTGTATGTTTCAACCCTTTTTAGCATAGAATTCAATTGCAATCGTCGAGAGCCTGGCAAGGGCAAAGTTTATTAACCCATGTGGTATGTGGCATGTGGCTAGTCTTGAGTGGACGGGGGTGCCATGGCGACGAATGCAATGCAAATTGCATTAGAAAGGCAACCCTGCCATGGCCCCCAACCCCAATCCATGAGCAACCCCAGCAAAACGCGAGCATAAAAATTTCATGACACGCCGCAATAAGATTTTAATGGAGCTCACAAGCAGCTGGACAACGGGGCTGAAGAGTTCGACGTAGACAACTGTTGGCACGCAACTAATTAAATGGCGACAATGTTGCCGGAGGCAATGACCTCCCCCTGCCGCCCCTTACCATCTCCTAACAGCGAGCCGCCTCTGCTCCAGTGTGTCGAAATAAAGTGGAGCAATTTTACGCGCAATTTTTGATTTCATCGGAAATTGTGATAACAAATTACCGCGCTTCCTCTCCGCTTCCAATGTGTTCGGCTCATTACGCAATTTAGTGTTGATAGCTAACAGTTGTCTTCCGCTTACAACAGCTGCCACGCCCTCACAGCCACGAGCCAATTGACAAACAGTTTTCAGAATCTTAAACATTTACAAAATGAGAAAAATGTTCAAAAGAAATTCGTGTTCGAATGGATTTTGTTTGCCAAAATTTTCCTTTGACGTTGCTCGTAAATATTGTGGAAAATCAGTTGAAAATTCTATTTACTTGCACAAACAACAACAACGAAAATGAATAGAATCCCGGAAGATTCCAAAACAAAATTTATGAAAGCAAACAAAGATGATATTATGGCAGAAAAGCTATAGACAAAACTGAAATACCCAAGCTTTATCGGCATTGCATCGACCCTATGATATATCTTTTGACTTATGGCTTTAGTTTTTAGTTTACTTTAGAAGTTACTCTACCGAACTACTAGAGAACACCTTGATGTTCAGAAGTTTCAGTCGTTCATTTAATTTATATAGAAAAACAAGTACTTTCATATTACTATCTAAATTCTAACTAAAAATGTTTATGGCATATATATTTCTCAGATTCAACTATCATACACTTATGTCCAGGCTGATACCGAAGCAAAGCTTTATGATTTAAACAGTCCATTCTGCATAAGCTGTCGATGGCTATTGATGCTGATTAAGCTAATATATATATATGTATATATATATATAATATATATTTCAAGCGAAAAATGATAATACCCTATATAGCCTTTACATTATACAGTGCGACCATAAATAACAGCATAACGCATCTATTTGCCACAGAAAATCAAAGAGTTCTGGTTTTACCCTAACA